CTCCATCGCTGAGAGCTCTGTGAAGAAAGGGATTCTTATCCGTTTCATTTAGTGCTGTACCCTAGTACCCACAACAGTGCAACAGGCACTCAATAAATAGTTGTTGAATAAATGAACAAAAGTAGCTGCATATTTTCCAGTAATAAATGACATTCTTATTTTTGAAAATAAATTCTAACAAGATAACCATTGTATTTTTAGACCATTTCTTCTTACACTAATCTTTCTTCTCAATAACATAACACTTGTAAAACTTAGGTTAGATATGGGCTCTTTAACTTTCCATTACAGAAGATAAAGTGAAAAGGCTAGACCCAATGGTGTTATTCCTTTACTCATGACCAAATTGCTTGCCATTGCAATCTCAAAATCTACTCTATGGTATTAACTTACTTTACTTGTCCCTCTGTCCCTTTCTAGATGGTAGCAAATCATCTCTGGAGCAGTGCAGAGTCAGAACAACTTCTATTTGGGGAAGAAATCATTGCTGGTGACCTTACTTTCAATTACCAATTTTCTAGTGACATTTGCATAATTTTAGAGAAAACGAACACCTGCATTTGTAAAGTTGTGGCTTTCCCACTCCCATTTATCATCTCTTAATATTCCTTGAAAAGGAAATTATCAATTTATCACTCTGTATTGGCAACAGAATGTCCCTTATATTTTTCACGTATACGACAGTGGAAGATGACGTGCTGAAAGCTTTCTGAAAATGTTGGTCATTACTTTAAATGGAATTGAAATTCCAATTTAGTATTTCCCATAATATGATCTTACTGATAATAGGATAACATTTCAGAGATTTCTTCCCCTTCGAGGACCCAAATCTGTAAGTCCTCTGGACTCCCACAGATCCTGGCAGGTTATTCCACTCATAAAAGCATAGGTACCCTCAGGGTCATGCAGGGATGAAGAAGCAACTCTCATTGGCTGTGTCCTGCATTCCCCATATAGTAAGGACTGGAGGAGACCAGTGCTCAATTCTTCATTCTCAGACAGCTGTCAGAGGAGAGCCATGAATGTGCAGTGTCCAGCACATTACAGACGTTCGTTAATTGACTGAGCATTCATGGTGTGACACCCCTATAACTCAGCTATCCTATTCAGTCAGAAATTAACTCAGTAATCAAAGTCATGAAAAGGAAGAAAAAAAACCTTACAGCTCCAGCCAGATGGTAGGGAAATCAGACAGATGAAAGGAAAATGGTTGTAGGTCATCAAGTAAGACACTGGGCAGCAAAACATGGGCCTTGTGCCTGGTTATATTCCAAACTATAGCTCAAGCAAGGTTTGGCAGGCTTTCCAAAGTCCTGGTTTATTCTAACCTTCCTTGGGTGCAGGAGCAGTGTTGGTCAGATGGACAGACACATGAGAAATCTGTCCAAATGGTACCATATGAATTTGAGCTCTTGGTATACATGGATAAGTGGGAAAAAGAGGAGAGAGACATGCAGGACTGACCCTACCATTTATGAAGTCTTGGGCAAGAGTATCAATGAAAACTCACTTCTCTTCCCTTGCCTGGCTCCACTGCACATGGTAAAGAGCCTCAAGCATGTGTGTGTGGACACTGCACCATGGATCCAAGCTCTGACCATTGTCTCTTGAAACAGCTATTCCTCAGCCACCCTCTGACCCTGGGAGGACTAACCCAGGAGAAATGACCATATAGGTCTTGAAAATGGGCTCAGGGCTATTTACAAAGTTAATTCCAGGGTCCCAGGAGTATGAACTAAAATGTGAGTCAGGCACGCAAGGCAGGCATATTCCATTGACTTCAAGGATTCCTCATGCTGTGGAAAGGGACCTCTCCAGAAGACAGGACAGAGCAGAACCCTCCAAATGTGGGACCCAAAGCAGGAGCCCCTCTTGCTGGATTCAAAGGGTCATATTGGAAGTGCGTAGGCTGAGTCCTCTTCTCACATCACTCATATCCCTTGCACACTTCCTTTCATAGCCTCAGCAGCCATGCCACAAAGAGAAACTCTTCATGTGTGTCTTTTGGTTCATAAATCATAAATAATTATACTTGATCCCATGTCTTTTTTAGAGACATGGACAGAGAGAAGCAAAAATATCCCAAGTTCACACTGAGTTGCTTCCCTTCATATCTCTTAGCAGTCACTGAAAGGTTATGATACTCAGGCTGGGTTTCTAACCTCTGGCCCTGAAATGACAAAGTTGACCTCGCGGTCAACCCTAGAATGCAGAGCAAAATCACACTGTTGTCTCTACTCCTGGACAGCACACTTTGTTTTGGGGGCTCCTGTACTTGAAATATGAGTGATGGCAAAAGGCTTTGAGTCTTATGACACCCCAAGTAACTTTTACTTTAGGAATTTGAAATACAGCCTCACTGTGATACTGTCTCCTTAACAAAGTAGTACCTTTAAAATATTTAACGACTTGAAAAGGAAACTGAGCTTGAATTTTCCTTTCAGGTGCTCAGGAAATACTGTTTCACTTCTGTCTGAAATTCACCATCTCCTCAGACAAAGAAGGCTCTTATGGTAAAAGCAATGGCATTTTCTCCACAATTTTCGAATAAAAGATAAAGAGAAAACAGCACTGCAGCCTTTTTGTTAGGATCTAACAATAAAGCAATAATACGGTTTTGCCAGGGGAGAGCTCTGGTTTTAAGCTCAGAATACAAAAATAGGCTGATAAAATTGTACAAAGGAATATTCTCAGCTACCACTCTGAGGCTGGTAGAAAGTGAAGTTTCAAGAAAATTATATTATTTGATTATCTGATGATGATTAAGCTGATGGGCCAGTCCTATGTGAAATTCTAAAGTAAAAGAAATGTGATATCACCTTTTCTGCTCACCTCTCCCCTCCTTCCTACCCTGCAATCTCTACCTCTACCTAGCCTGAACTTTGGGAAAGGAATGGGTGCTGTCACTTGCACCGTAGCTCCTCCTGCCTGTAATGCTCTCCCCACACAGTCCAGCCTCCCTCTGCTCAGCTAACTTTTCCTACAGCTCCTTCTGGCTACTTCTAAGGAACCTTCCATAATGCTCCCCACCCTCTCAGTAACAGCCCGTCTACTCCCCCTAGATTACAGGCACTATAATTGGTTAGCGATTGATTTTATGTCCTCTGCCCAATTATACACTGTGAGAGCAGAAACCATGTGTATTTTCTTTAATGTTTAAATCTCCACAACTATCCCCATGATTGCCACATAAGTCTAATTGAATAAATGAATGAATGAGTGAATTAATGAATAGAAACTCAAGCCATTATGTTGCCACTCCTAGGATATTTGGATTAACTTTAATTGAAGAGCAAAAAGCATTTACCTGTCAAAGGAGATATAAACTTAGTGGGAGACTATTTGGAGGAAAAAAAAAAGACACTGTAATATGTTCTTTTGTGTTGCCTGCCCTTATGTTTTCAGGTGTTCCTGATATGGGGTGGGATGAGAATTTGAAATAAAATTGCCTAACTTGACATCATAAGTGGAGGAATCAGGAGTTGAAACCAAACTGGTTTGACCTAAATCAAGCTATTATAAGGACTTGCAAGAAAAAAGGAATCCATAAACACCATAGGAATAGCTACCAATTAGTAGCATTTATATGTGTCGATTACAATGCCAAATGCAAATCATGCTTCACCTATAATAACCACCTTTTATAGATGAAGAAATTGAGACCTGAAGATTAAAATTGCCTAATTTTACACAGTAAGTAAAGGAATCAGGGTTTGAACCCAAATTGGTTTCACCTAAGGCAGAAAACCATCCCAGCAAGTCTCCTATTAACCAGAACCCTATTGTGGTGGCTTGGGGTATAACAGTAGCTATGGAAGCACTGTGGAGTCCTGGCCATCTAGTGTGCTCCTGATCTGGTCCCTCCTATCACCTGCTTCTGCTCCCTGTGCCATCCACCCATCCAGAGGTCTCCCTTTGTCCATCTTCAGGGGAGATACCAGAGTTTCCAGCTTCCAGTCAGTATGGAGTGCACTTGTCCTACAGCAATGTCATCCAAATCACAGCTGCATCTGTTAAGATCAGATTAGGCTACCAATGAGTGATAGATGAGGGGGCAAAATAACAATAGTGTACTAAACAAAACAAATGTTTATTTCTCTCACACGTAAAAATCTAGAGGTTGAAGTCCAGGGCTGGTTCAGTGGCTCCAGGGATCTGGGATTTAGACTCCTTCTTGCTTTTCCACAGCATATGGCTTCCATTTCTGGGGCCACATTGGTCCAAAATGTATGCTGGAGCTCCAGCCATTGCATCCATATTTCAGCCACAGGAAGGAGGAAGTGGGAAAGAAAGGACAGGCCCCTAGTACCTATATAGCTCAAGAAGATCCACACATACATCCCAACCACCCTCAGCTGAACAATGTCATCTTTATTCAAGACAGTCACATGTGTAGCTAAAAATCTGAATTATGCTATAAACAAAGAGAATAGAGATATGTGCCACCTCAACACCTCAACCACAGCTGCCTTTGCTCAGGTTTTTCTTTGTGCAGCTGTGCCCAAGTGAAAGCCTAAGGAGCCGTGGTAACCCTTCTGAAGGGAGGCCTGGGGCCTTTCACAGGAGGCCGCATGACTGGCATTTATCCTGCATGGCCTGTGAAGTACAGAGAAATATTTTCTCTTGAAGCTACATCATAGCAGTGGCTGCTTTGTAGCCTGATTCCACCATTATGCCTTTAAAGTGCCTAGCAATTCAGCCTTCACATCATGCAAAGAGGAATATCTCCCAGTCTTTGTAAGATCAGCTTGATTCTAACCACCTCCTTCCCCCACTGCACTTCTGAGCACACACACAATCTTCACTCAGAGCAGAGCCATAACCCAGGCACTATCACCTTGAAGAATCAGGCCCATGATTACAAATATGCACATTTTTTGTGTGTAAGAATGTAAGTGGAGATGATGGTAAGAGATTTCCTTGGTTTACACATTGACCCTCTTCCCTGTATCTTACAATCAGGAAATATTTGTCGCAACATGTTATTTCTTCTGTTGCAGGCTCCTGCGGCTGTCTTGTCATGATACTGTTTGCCTCTGAAGTGAAAATCCACCATCTCTCAGAAAAAATTGCAAATTATAAAGAAGGGACTTATGTCTACAAAACACAAAGTGAAAAATATGCCATCTCAATCTGGGTCATTTTCATTTGCTTTTTTGTTCATTTTCTGAATGTGCTCCTAATACGACTTGCTGGATTTCAATTCCCTTTTGCAAAATCTAAAGACTCAGAAACAACTAATGTAGCTGCAGATCTAATGTACTGAAAGGCAAACCTTTCTATAATTTTACAAGTAAGGGAGTAGACTTGGTCATTTTTAGAGGTAGTTAATTTTGTACATATTATGTACAATTTAGTCTGCATACATTAAAGTATCAGGACCCTCTGTTACAATGTTTACAAATTACCTACTAAGGATACAGGCTGGAAAGTAAGGGAAGCAGAAGGAAGGGTTTGAAAAGTTGTTTCACATGGTGGGAAATTGCTTGACACAGGTAGTCAAAGGCGGTTGACTAGAATCGACAGATTGTTACTCCATATATATACATGTGTGTGTGTGTGTGTGTGTATGTGTATCTATATATATATGTCAAAGTGCAAGACGCCTTTCCATCAAAAAGGAATCAAAAGGCACATAGAATGTATTTTAATAAAAGCAAATACTATTTCTGATATATCCACACATTTGTTGCCACAGATTTCAGAAAACTGAGCTGGAATCGCTTTCCTAAAATGGCAGTGTATTAAATGCATATCTATAAAATATATCAACACATTTTTAAAAAAAGTTTGTTTGAAGCATACCCTTAGGCCAGGTGTGGTGACTCACGCCTGTAATCCCAGCACTTTGGGAGACCAAGGTTTGAGATCAGGAGTTTGAGACCAGCCTGGGCAATATAGTGAGACCTTGTCGCCAAAAACATTTAAAAATAAATATAAAATATAGGTTTTAAGAAAGCATAGTCTTATTAACCATGTCTGTTGGTCAAAATTTACAAACTCTGAAAGAAAAAAAGCAGAAAGAACCAAGCTAAGGGTATTTTTTCTCCGGTGCCTGAGTCCCAATTACATTCATGACAGTACTTTCAATGAACATAATTGTTGGGACCACTGAGGAGTCATGAAAAATGATCTCTACTAGTACACTTGATGAAAATGACTCATTGGGGCTGTTTTTTTTTTTCTAGCTATAGTGTCTCGAGTACTAATATGCAATTGTGAAAATTATATTAAATCTGGGATTACGATGGTATCACTGTGTCATCTTGATCTTGGTCTGGCTGTCACAAAGCATGACCCAGGTCGATTTTTTTTTTCTCTTAATTACCCATCAAATTGATCTGCAGCTGACTAAAGGCCACAGCTGAGCCTGGAACTGGTTCCTTCATACTCAACCTGCCATCCTCCGGAAAGCACCAAGGAAAAAGCAGAGAATGACAGCAAACAGACCACCAGCCTCTGGCTACAAGTGCTGGGTACTAAGCAACCTGCATATAATGAGTTTGAAAGTGCTCCTTAAAACACCTTTTCCCTTTTGGAACTATTTACAAGGAAGAAACAACTGTATACCTGAGAAATAACTTGCTCTGGGGTCAATTTGCTGTTCACCAGCAGACATCAGAACACACCCTGAGTTTCCAGATGCTGGTTTTTCCCCTTAACTCAGGAAATGCATCTGGAGAATTTCTAGAAGAGTATAATTCAGTCTAGCCACAAAGGGGATTTTTTTGGTGACAGGGTAGAGCCTAGTTCTCTAAGTCTTCGGCCAAAATGGTCTAGTACAGAAGCACTGGAAATGGAAAGTGGGATGAGAGGACAAGGACCATGGCCCTCGTGGGCAGCTGGCTGGAGGCCCCCAAGGCCAGGTATCCCCCTGCACACTCATGTGATCCTTCTCTGTCTTCTTGGAGTTCTGAAAACCTTCTTCAAATGCCAGGCTTTTCTCTTTAGAAAACAAGTCTCCAATTGTTCTCTGTTAGGTACAAAGAGAAAGAAAACCTGGAGCGGCTGCTGCAAAAACTAATGAGGACCTAAGAGGCAAACCCATCATGTTCCCTGGATGGGAAGGAGAAGCAGGGCTGTGACAGACACTCAAAAGGTGCCTGCAAAGCACACCACACACAAAATAAAGCAGGAAACAACCTGGGTACCAGCAGTGCCCCAGAGTCTCCCTCTCTTCTTGCAGATGAAATACATAGTCCCCAGGGCCTATGGGGAGTCCTTAGAAAAGGGTTCTGGCTAGGACACTCGATGGTGGCTCCTGCTTGGTGGGAATCAAAGGCCCTGGGAATGACATTCATTTTGATGGGACCTGCCCTCCCTCTCCAGATGGCAGCCAGTCTTCTCACAAGGTCACGGGGCCCCCTGCTGGCCCTGGGGAGGAGAACCTGTTTCATTGTCTCAGATACCCTCGTATTTGAGAACATCAGTGCTGATGATCTACCAGAACGAATGGCAAGAACAATGTAAGAACTCCACCCTGGGTCCGTCCAGGTGGACCCAGCCAAGGCAAGACATGTTAACCAGAATAGGAGCAAGCCTCAGAATAAAGTGAAAACAGGTACAGATGGTGCATTAGAATGAAGAGGAGGGGCACTCCTTCTATCTGGGTGCCTTACAGTTTCCAAAGGTCTTTTGCTCTTGTGGTCCCCTCTGGTCCTCCAGGGAAGCTGCTTCATGTCACAATACAGGTATTCAGGGCCCCTCAATGTGTCCAGAGTCTCATACATTTATACAATCAAGGCAAGGGACAGTGGTATTCTTCTTCTCTCCCTCTGCCCCTTTACTGGGTAAAAGGCTAGGAGAGGGAGACCACTGCCCCTTCTTAACCCTGGTGGAGACAGAGGGTGCACACTGGCAGTGGTAGGGTGCACCAGCTCCAAGGTAAGCATGGCTTGCCACTAGAATGGATATTTGTCCCAACCATTTACCTAGACAAATCTGAATGGGAACCAAGGGGTAGACTCCAGAGGGGGGAAAGTGGGGCAGGGGTCGGGGGAGGATTAACCTCCCTCTCAGTTTTTCTCACCCTCTCCCCTTCCAATAAGATCTAGTGTAGTTAAAACAGTACAGCTGTGATAATAGAAATGCTGCTTTGAGACCAGTCCCAAGCCCAGCCCTGTTGCTCCAACTGCCTTGCTGCCCCTGGTCCCTTCTACCTAATATCCTGGGGCCTGTGCTAGTTCAGTGCTCGATGTCTGCTCAAGTGATGTGCCCATTCGATGTCTGCTCAAGTGATGTGCCCATTCTCAAGCCCCTTCAGTATGGCAGTTCGTCCCGGCTCAGGGCTGATGGCTGATGGGCCACCTCCATCAGTGACAAGGAACACAGCAATGCTCGTCATTTAGAGAAAAGGGCAGTTTAGAGAAAAGGGCAGAAAGAAAGACTGGGCAGGATTGGGGTCTCTGCTTCTGGGCCAAAATCCCCCTCAGGAAAAGCCCTCTTGCTCCTATAAATACTGATGTAAGCCAAATTAAATTATACATTTTTTTCTTCTTTTTTTTTTAAGCCATGAATGAGCAATAAATTATATTTTGATTTACAGACTTACTGATAAATTCCCACTTAGGCAACCAGACACACCCATGGGTGTCACAGCCCAGAGCTAGGATTTACTAGGCTATTTGGAAAGTCCAAACACCCATGTCAGAAACCTCCAGAGCCTCCCCTGCCAGTCCTAATGGGCAGTATCAGGCAATGGTTGTAGAGACCCCAGGGTGGAGGTGAGGTGGGGGACAGCTATGGTGTTGTCAAAAGGCAAGTGTCTTAAGAGATTGTTTCTTTGCTTGAATCCTGCACATCCCAGGCCGGAGGCCCCAGGAGAATCAGCTCTATAGACTTTCCTTTGCTGCCATATAGCTGCTCCCTTTGCCCTGCTCCTCTGCAGTCACCCTTTCCCCCACGGACATTCTGTGTGCTCTTCACCAGTTTCCTCTTCTTTGGTGTGCAGTTAAATAGCTAAAACTACATTTCCCAGGCTCCTTTGGGGTTGGGGCCAGGTGAGTGTGGATATAGCAATGAGATGTTGTTGAATTAACCTGTGCCACTTTCAGGCCTGGCCCTGAAAAACATCCCATGCAAACCTCCAGCTCAATCTCCTTCTGGTGCTGCATGCAGCCTTGGAGTCTGTGAGATCCAGAGGGAAGGCTACATAACAGGGGTGGGCTTCCTGCCCTGCACTAGAGTACAAGGCTGGTAAATAAACTTTCTCTGTAAAGCTGCTGATTTTTGGTGATTGTTGCTGTAGCTTAGCCTAATTTAGCCTAGCCTAGCTAACAAGACCCCATTCTCCAAGAAAGTTCTTCTGCTGCCTGCCAGAGAGACGCTTCCCTATGGCTCCCAAAGCGTAGTCTATGCCAGGTGCACTGTTGTCATATTGCACCGTCTCCACTTGCTCCTCTCGATGCCTCTGTCCTTTGTGGCCCTCTGGTCACATTACCCATCACCCACTGAAATGAAGACCGGAGAGTGAACTGTCTACATCAGTATGTAAAGAGTAAATAAACACTTTTGCTTATGCTGCTGCCCTTCAAGATTCTTTCCAAATGTGGGTTAATAAACGCTTTTTCATTATTCAAAAAGGATTTATCGTGCATCTCCTACAGATGTAACTGTGTATAAGGCAATGAATATTGGGATAGCTAATGTAAAAAGAGTAAGAATACATTTTTTCTTGATTTTTGGTTGAGAGCAGAGAAGAATATCCTCGAAGACTCTGTATCTTTAGTTTCTGTTTAGAACTTCAATATAGTATTAAGAAAAGACTTTTTAAGTTTGCCCATAACAGAAAAATCTGATGAAAAATTTTCAACAAAGGAAATCATTTTAAAAAACAAAAATTATCCTGGAGTTTCGATTTTCACAAAATGCTGTAAGAATGCTGTTACTTAATTAAACAATACTTTAAAAATCTATTTTAAAAAAAGTATCAAGAAGAGCGGCTGGGAGATAGGAGGGAGGCTTCTATCACCATCCAGATCTGGGAGGGCTCCCTCTAGGAGGTGTGGCTGTTCCCTCCTCCCTAAGGAGCGGGGCATTCAGATGAGGAATTCTCCACAGTCCTGTGTCAGACTACATGTTGAGACCCAGAGAAATGCTTCTCCTGTAGGATGTGGACAGGAGACCTGATCCCTGCTGTCAACTTGGTCCTCTCCTGGGCAGAAATGAGGAGACACTGGGCACTGACTCAGTTTCTCCAACGTCCTCTAGTGCTGGAAAACGATGGTACTTGTTCTAGCAGAGATTCTACGTTTAATCTAGGAGTACCTCCTCTTAAACTTCTGCCCAACTTCAGTCCTTGGAATTTTCCAGCTAGTTTGGAGACAAAGACAAACTAATCGTGCAAGAATGTCACTGTTTTACACCAAAACTAGTGGCTATTGAACTTAAGGATCAGTTTTTTTACCTGGATCCAGCATCACCCACTTCTCCACAAAGCTTACGAGCAGTTACCTGGACTAAACAGAGATTTCTGGAGTGTAAGAGAAGCAAAACAAGCACAGGGGAGGAGATCATCCAAAAAACCAGTGAAATACCCTTCTACCGCACACAGTAACTCTCAACGGGAAACTCCTGACTTTTTCTAAGCATTTAACAAACTTCATACATGTTTCTACCCCACATAATATGCTTATGTTCTTTGAAAAATATGTAAATATACAAAAATATAAAATGCACGCATGTCATATCAAGTACCTCTCTATCCTTTACCACAAAGGAAAGGCTTTCTATTTTAATGTTTCAGTCAGGGAGCATTGAACATGAGAAAAAAAACCACCTAAATCATCTTAAGCAAAGTGTGAGAGAATGAGAATTACAAATCCAATGGAAAGATACAGCAGCATCTCTCATAGCACTAGGATACTAGGGGAGTAAGTGCATTAAGGCCTTACGAAGGGGTAGATCCAGGAGCCGGAAAGTCAGTGGAAACAAATTTCCCTTCCCTCCCATTTCTCCCCTTACCACTATGTTGGCATGGCATGCATGCAGGGGTGTGTGTGTGTCTCACAGAAGAGGATGTGAGCTTGGCAGATTCCCCAAAACTGTCCATCATGATTGGTTTAAAAAAAAATGTGATTCTGTATCCTATACATTAATATAATATAGGAGTCTTTACATACAGTTTCTTGCCTTATAATGACAGACGAAATTGTCTTCCAAATTTCCTTTTTTTTTTTTTTTTTTTTTTTTTTTTTTTTGAGATGGAGTCTCACTCTGTAGCCCAGGCTAGAGTGCACTGACATGATCTCGGCTCACTGCAGCCTCCACCTCCTGGTTCCCAATTCAAGCAACTCTCCTGTCTCAGCCTCCCGAGTAGCTGGGATTACAGGCATGCACAACCATGCCCAGCTAATCTTTGTATCTTTAGTAGAGACAGGGTTTTGCTCTGTTAGCCAGGCTACTCTTGACCTCCTGACCTCATGATCACCTGCCTTGGCCTCCCAAAGTACTGGAATTACAGGAATTAGCCACAGCACCCAGACTGTCTTCCAAATTTCTAACTCATTTTATTGCTTTCTAAAATCAAAGAAAGACATTTTCCATAGCATTTAATTTTTTTATGTGCATCTCGTTCTTCAATACATCAGTTTAGTGGGACTTCCTTAAATTAAAACAAAAACACTTCAGAGAGTTTCTAGTTAGTAGACAAAGTGGTTTTATTACTATATCTAGGTGTCTCTTCTATTCTAACATGGGTTTTCATCCTTTCCCTGTTCTTCCCTCACCCACATTATAGCAGACCTATAGCCAAACCCACACATATATAAGGAATAGGGCAAACCAACTGGCCTGAGCTGAGATTATTCTGATCAAATTTGCAAACTGACATTTCTCTGTAAGACACTGACATCAAGCCACCTTATCCCTCTCGCCTTACCCCCAGCTATTCTGTGAATCGTAATACATTCTTTTGCTCAGGAGACATGTGCAATGTCTTTGCCACACAAATCTAGAGACTCACTTATACCATGGCATATTTGTCCCTCATTATTTTCTGGAGACTCAATATCAATTCACAAAGATTCAATTGCTGAACTCAAAGTGACATCTCCCTCTTCCAGCCTCATGTGTCGTTTTGCTCATGACATAGTCCTGTAGCACAGCCACAGAGCGTTCTGATTCTGAAGGATTCTTAGAAACATTTCCTTCTGGTTTCAGTATCAGGATTAGCTGTTCTTCTGCCAAAGAAGGGTTTTGTTTTTGTTGTTAAGTGTTTGTCTTCATGGGTCGTATCATCACTCACTATGGATTAGTCACTGCAAAGCCTGAGGTGACATCTGTGGCTCACCTGTGGCAGTATCTAGAATTTCATGGGTGCATTTTGTGTACTGGGAACTAGCTTTATTCCTGGCTCAGTTGGGTTCTGATGCTTCTTATTCCATTTTTTTCTTACTCATCTGTCTTTTTAACTCCTAATTTATTGGCATCACTACACCTTTGTAAGTTGCTTTAAGTTTTTTATAACAGGTGGGGTATAAATTTTACAAATCCAAATCTTATACAGTACTAAAGGTATATGAGAAGAAGAAGAAATGTAAATAAATTATGACCCAATTGTTTTGTCCACTGCTAAATCCTGGTCTCTAGAACAATGCCTAACATGTGCTGAGTACTTACAAACTGTTTCTTGAATGACTGAGGGCCAATTTCAATCCTCCTTTCTGTTGCAGAGACCTGACTGCTTCCAATCTCAGCTGAGGTTCCCATACTCAGTCAGCTTCCTGCCATTACCATTTTCCTTAAGTTCTATCTAACTCTAAATCTGATGAAGTTTTCACACTTTCCTTTTGAAAGAGGCGGTTATTTTGAGTCATAAGATCTATTGTCCTGCCATATCTTCCTGATCCTTTGCCAGTGACCGTCCATTGCACTCAAGAGAAGATGCTGATGCTTGTTTTAATGAATGAATCAAATGACTCATAAGATACTGATTAAGCATCATCCATGTATCCTGCTTGAAAGCAAAGTACAGGGCATAGCCCCTGTTCTTAGAACTCAAATCAGTTTCCAAAAATCACAGAAATTATACTGTACAAAAGTACAGCTTGTTTTCTCAGTAAGTAAATTCAAGTTAAACCAGCCTGATGAAGTGGAAAGGGCACTAAGTTTAAGCCCACACGCTTCCTCTCACCAGTTCTGTGAGTCTGGGGTGTTACTGAACATTTCCTGAACTTTGTTTACCTATCAGAAACTAATTAAATGTCTCCAAACTGCCCGCATATATGCACATAAATAACCATCACACTAGCTTTGATTTCCAATTTTTGATGGCTCTTACAAGCCCCTCCAAGTAGAGAACCAAGGCATTGCTCCCCAGCCCTGCCCACTCCCCAAGTGCCCCTCCTTCCATTCCGGGAATTTCTAAATCTTCCTGGGTCCCCAGGAACAAGACTGTCATCCTAGTTTTCACACTAACACAGCTCACAGCTGATCTGCTCCTGAGGCTTCTGTGAGAAGACTGCTTGGCTGAGAAAAGGATTTGTTCAGTGAGGGATGCTCTGCAACCCAGGGCTCTAGAACGCGCTGAGGCCTGCGGTAGAGCAGGGTTGGGGTAGAGAACAGCCCCTCCCACTGCTGTGGCACTCCCCGTCTTTGCGCCCCTGACCGCCCTGCTTCTGTCTGAGATGCCACTCATCTGCTTGCACTCTCTCTTGTCGCAGGTCCCTCTTTTCTCCTCTCCAAGTACCTAGCTACCACATTTCCTTCTGTGACCAAAAAGGAGAAGCCTCATGCCCATCAGCTCTCATTAATGTCTTATCAATGCCTCCAGAAGGGTCCCCAGCCCACAT